CACACGTTCTACGATCAAATAGATATTCCAAGGTCAGCAAAGAAAATAGAAATAACCAGTTACTGGTTATTTCTTCTTCCAGCGTATATTCCAACTGCACGCAATCTAGTAGTATTGAAAACAACAAAGCTAGTCAAACATCTAAACAATATCTATCTTACAAGCGTGTTATAGAACAGAATTTAGTAACTATTGTACTTGATAGTCATAAAAAAGAGAAAAAGAAAAAACTTCACAGTACCTGTCAGCTAGTTGGCCTGAAATAAAAACAGAACTCAGAAATCCAGCCATGTATATAGACGTACTCAAGGACACCAACCAGCCATTACCGCAAACGAGGTCCCACTAACAAAAAAATATGCATACACATATAAAAAAGAAGCTAACGTCAGCCAACTTCTAAAAGCTATAAAAAAGCTGAAAGCAAAACAACTAAAAAACAGATACGTGCATTTATTCTACCATTTACAAAGCTGTAAAGCATTGTGGCAACAAAATGTTAAAGTTGAAAGTTGAAAGTATCCAGGAAAAAAATTCTTTTGTTCTCACCAAGCAACAACTGCAACAGGAAAATGTATTCTTAAAGTTCCAGTCAATTAGACCAAAAAGCGATATGAAAGTTAAAATAATTAGAAGTGAAACAACATCTACATAGTTACCTAGGAACACAAATATAAGTTTTAGCAATTAGTTTGTTTTTTAATATTTCTATATTCCTATTGTTATCAATATTTTGTCTCTTTTTTATTTTTATCTTAATATAATTAGGGTCACCAGACGTCCCAATTTTTCTTAATTTTTTTTATCCCGATCAGAAAAAGTAAAAATATTAAAATGTCCCAGTTTCTCTGTATCACAGTGTGAGTTTGATATGTACGGTTTGTTGTAACACACATCTCCTTTAAAATCTACTTGGAGAATCACCTGAAAAATACAGATCATGCTATACAGTGTTCCCTTCTTCTATGCTACGTTTTCTTAACCTAAACTATCACTGGTCAGCCGCAGGAATTGAGATTTAAAGACCTGCCCAACTGTGAAAAAGAAAACGAAGAAGTAACGCTATTCTTTTGAATAGGCTCAAAACAACTCAGACACGTGTTTTTTTTTCATTGACTTAACTTCATAAACATTTAATAAG